GCTCCTCGCCAGCTTAAGGTACCAGACGGCGTAAGAGAGGCCCAGACGGGCCCGAGGACGGCCCAAGAGCGATCCAAGATAGCCCAAGATGGCCTCAGTACAGCCGAAGAGGCCTCCAAGACACCCCAAGCGGTCCCCGAGAGGACCCCCCAAAATGTCGGACGACGCAAAAGCCATTGTTGTCTTTAGGTATGTGAAGGTTTTCCAGCTTCTCGTTTTTCGGGCAAGAACAGCCCGATACAGCTCCAGAGCCCCCCGAGATTGTGCCGTGACGGCCCAAGAGGCTCCCAAGAGGGCCTGAGGACGGCCCAAAAGGGCCCCACGACTGCCTAAGACAGCCACAAGACGGCCCAAGGAGGGCCTGGGAGAGGCCCAAGATGCTCCCAAGAGACAGCATGTCGTCGTCATCATCATCAACAGTATTATCATAATCTTGATTCGTGTTTTATCGCGCTCTGGTGCCTTTCCATGATATCAAGACGCCCTGCTTCCCCCTGAAGAGGCCTCCTGCGGCTTCTAGACTTCTAGATAGCCCTAGAGGGCGCCCAATATGTCACCAAGATGCCCCAAGAGAGCCTCCAGACGGGGAGACAAAGCGAAAGAACGGGCAAGCCAGCGACGCCTCGCGCTCTGAAAGTACATGCGCTTTCCGTCCCCGTGCCAAGCAGGTCTACCAGCTTCCGGCCCACTCCCGCCACCGTGCCTGGGCTGTGGGACACTTTTTACTTGCGCGAGAAGGTCGCCCCGTGGCTAAGGAGGAGAGAGGAGAGCAGCAAGGGGGGGGAGAGCAAGAGGAGAAGCAAAAGCAGCAGCAGCAGCCTGGGTTGTGGGACACAGGCCTCTATAGGTTGCTCCTTGGCATGTTGGCCTCTTTGGGCTCTCCTGTGAGGCCTCTTGGGGGCCTCTTGGGGGCCTCTTCGGGGCCTCCTGGGGGGCCGCTCGGGGCCTCCCGGGGGCTTCTTTTTGGGGCCTCCCGGGGGCTTCTTGGGGGCCGCGGGCGTTCGTGGGGGGACCCTGCCTGGGCCCCCTCCTCCTCCTCCTCCTCCTCCTCCTCCTCCTCCTCCTCCTCCTCCTCCTCCTCCTCCTCGTCCTCCTCCTCCTCCTCCTCCTCCTCCCTCGTCCTCCTCCTCCTCCCTCGTCCTCCTCCTCCTCCTGCTCCTCCTCCTCCTCCTCCTCCTCCTCCTCCTCCTCCTCCTCCTCCTCCTCCTCTGTGGGAGCCGCTTTTGGAGGCCTGGGCCGTCTCGAAGGCCTCTTGGAGCGCCTGGGGGCCCTCCTGGGCTCTCCTGGGGAGCGTCTCGGGGGCCTCTTGGGCCGTCTCGGTGCGATCTTGGGGGCCTCATGGGCCGTCTTGGAGCGTTGGGAAGCCGAAAACACGAGTACCCCAAAACCTTCAGGAACACCCATGAGAAAGCTACGATGGTTGCCTCTTGGGGGCCTCTTGGAAGGCCTCATGGAGGCCTCTTGGGTCGTCTGGGGACCGTGAGGCGCTCCTTGACCGTTTTGGGCACTTGGAGGGGTGTTCCGCAACAGTCTGCAGACGTCCTGGGGGTAACGCGAAACTTTCGGGGAGCGCCAAGAGCGCTCGGAAAATTGGTGGTCTGGTCTTTTGCAAAATTGCATTCCTGGCTGCAGAAGCAGCACAGCTGTGAGTTTGGGGGCACTCCACTTCGTGCCAGAGGCACGGTGGCGGATTTGTTTCCCAACCTGAATCCAATCGGACATGAAAACCCCAAGACGGCCCGAGAAGGGCCAATAAGGCCCCAAGAGACTCACGGGAGCGCCCCAGGAGGCCCCCAGTGCCGAGACGGCCTAACAAAGCTCCCACAGAACCGCACGACGCGCCCAGACAGCCCAAGAAGACCCCAGAAGCCCATAAGAGGACTCAAGGGGCCCCCAAGAAGCCCCCAACAGGCCCCAAGAGAACCCCGCGCGGTGCCAGGAGCAACGTCTTTTTCCAATTGCCTCGTACTGTCCTCTGTCGTCGTCGTCGTCGTCATCATCGCCCTCCGCATTCCTCCTCGTACTCGCCCTCGTTCTCTTCGTCCTCGTCCTTGTGCTTCTCTTCCTCCTCGTTGTCCTCATGCTCCTCCTCGCTATCCTCACGTTCGCCACGTCGTCCTCGTCATCGACTCCTCGTTGCCCTCGCCTTCCTTGTCTTCTTCGACCAATACGCCCATTAGACTACAGCGGCGCTTCCCGTTCTTGTCCGATCAGGTTTGTTTCCCAACCTGAATCCAATCGGACATGCGTTGATCCCAGCCTCCTGCAGCATCATGTAATAGCTTACTTGTGCAGTGCTTTTCAGTTTAACTTTGATCGGAAACGCGCTGACCCAAGCTTCCCGCAGAATTATTGGCAAGATTCCATGCGCTTTTCATGTGTCAATTAACAGGGAATGCGCCGATCCCAGCCGTCCGCAGAGTCATTTGATATTCAGAGTGTGCTCTCAGTACGGCGTCAACGAAACTGCGCTGATCCCAGCCTCCCTCAGAATGCTTTAACATTGCTTTGTGTTTTTCCATATGACTTCAATGGGAAATGCGCTTGTCCCAGCCTCCCGCAGAGTGCTGTAATCTGTCATGTGTTTGTGTCAGTCCGCATGCCACAGGAGCGCCCTGGAAGAGGTCCGGGGCGCAGCGGTATCGGTACCTTGCGATTCCCCCGACAGTTGGCAATGTCACCAGTCCCGCGTAAAAATCTGCAAAGGGGGTCGAGGGTTTGGGGGGCCAGCGCCGCGAACAGCTCGAGCCGCTGTGTTCCTGAGCGGGCGGAGGGCACAGCCGGCTCAGACTTACGATAAGGCGTCTTGTTTTTTGTTACGTATACAAACAAAACAAAAACACATCCTCGCCGATGGGGGTCTCGGGTGTCCCAACGTTCCCCAAGGAACTCTGCGTTCCCCCGTCGGGGGCCCACATCGCCGATCTCCGTCGGCGAGGCGCCTTCGATTCCAGGTCATTCCCCCCACCCCCACACCCCCTCCTTAGCTAGATTGCTCCGCTTCGGCTCCCGCAGGGATGGGGGATGAAAGTTGGATCGGAAGCTCGGACGATCTTGGGGTTCCCCCCCCTCGGGGCCGCCTCGGAGGCCCAGGGAGGTCTGTTAAGGCTCTCTTGGGGCTCGCTTGGGACCCTCTTGAGGGCCTTCGGGGCCTCTTGGGCCTGTCCAAGACGCCATCGATAAAAGTGGCTACGACACATTGTCTCTTGAGGCCCTCTTTCAGGCAGTCTTTGGGCCACTCTTTGGCGCTCTTGGCGCCATCTTGGTGTCTTATGGTCCGCTCTTGGGGTTCTATTGGGCGATATTTGGGCCATCTTGATGGTTGAGAAATCCATCGGAAGCGAAACGACGAGAAGGCCGACACCAGTGTGCTTGAGCGATGCTCGCTTATCGAAGGCGTGCTTGGGAGGCTCTGGGTCCATTTGGGGCGGCAGTGTCTTGTGGTGGTCTTGAGGTTTCTTGGAGGTACGTTGGAAGCCATCTTGAGCCATGTTGGGCTACAATGTGCAATATCGGAGCCAGTATTGGGCTAACATGAGCTCTCTTGAAGCCATCTTGGACCCGTTAACCCCTCGTGAAACAGTGGCGCAGTCTCCATAGGAGGGGGGCAGGGGGTGGGGTAACCCCGGGAAGAAAGGGACTGTAATAATTTGTTCCCAGATGGCTGGTAAGACTCTCTCCTGGTCCTGCCCAGACCCCAGACGGTATGTTTTCCCTTAAATCTTGAGATCAGGTTCGTGTTATCTCTGGGATGCTTCCGCCTCTTCACTCACTCGCTCCCGCCCCCTTCCTCCCTCTCACCACAGTCGGATGACTCATGCTCAGACTCACTGGCGCTCAGATCACATATACTCAGACTCACTCAGACTCGGACTCACACACAGCCAGAACGCTCACACTCATACCACTCATGCTCGGACTCTCTCACACTCACTAAGACTTACTTAGACTGAGACTCACTCAGAGCCAGTCATACTGAGACTCACTCACACGCAGGCTAATCCACACCCAGGCCCACTCACACTTTGACCTACTCACACATACGATTTCCTATGCACTCACATTGAGGCTGACTCACACTTATACGCATCCACACCACTCACGCTCAGCCCCGCCTCACACTCAACCTCTGAGGAGGTCTCCAAGGAGGAGCCGCCAGGATACGTCTCACGGGCTCGTTCGGGCCCAGATCGTGGGGATATCTCAGGCGGTGTGCCTCTTTCGTGGCTTGGACTTAGGTTCTGTCGGAGCAGGTTGTGAGCATGTCTCGATCGAGACGTTTGTCTCAGCACCCAAAGGGGGAGGACAGGGGGTGTCTCGCAGGCACGTTCGTGCCTAGACTGTGGAGATGTCTCTGGCGGTTTGCCTGTTCGGTGGCTTGGACGTCGGTGCTTCGAGGGCAAGTTGCGAGGACGCCCTGGGCGAGGCGCTGGCTTCAGTTCCCCAAGGGGAGGCCGCCAGGGGGTTGTCTCACGGGCCCTTTCGCGCCCAGATTGTGCGGATTTCTAATGCGGCTTGCTCGTTTGATGACTTGGACCTCGGTGCTCACAGAGCTGACTGCGAGGATGTCTCAGGGTGTTTGTTGTCCCACGGGCCCCTTCGCGCCCAGACTGTGGGGATACCTCAGGCGGTTTGCTCGCCTGGTGGCCTGGGCCTTCGTGCCCTGAACACCCCTTGGCTCACGCCCGGGCTACTCGGGGCACGGGCCAAGAAAGAACCCGGCCCCTGGGGTTCATGTACATGCCCCCGCGTTGGCCCCCGTCGTGGGGGCGAGGCGCGAGCACGGGAACGGAGAACATGCCGGTCGCCACTTGTCCGCGTCCTCGTCGCTGGCCCGCCACCGCCGCCGCAGCCTGGCCGCCGCCGCGGCCGCCGCCGCCGCCGTCCTCGTCGTCGTGATCCTGCCGCCGAGGGCATCGTCGCCGCCGCCGCGGTCGCCGCTGCCGCCACCTGCCGCCGTCCTCGCCGCTGCCCCGTCGGCCCGCGCGACCCCCTCGCAGCCCGGCTCGCCGGCGGGGCAGCAGCAGAACTGGGCGCAGGCGGCGCAGGAAGTCCTCGCAGCGCGCCAACCGCCGTCCTTCGCCAGCCGGGGCCGCCGCTACCACCCGTCGCCGTCGGCGACGCCGCCGCTGTCGCCCTCCGCGGTCACCGCCACGCGCCGTGAACAAACACACGACGGGAGGTCTTTCGCTATTTTCATCCACTGGGGGCCCTTACCGGGCCTTGAGACTGTCAGCAAAACGACTCAGGATGAGAAGCTGGTCCTGAGGATTGGGTCGAGACCTCGGGGGTCGAGGTTCTGAAAATATCCTGACGTCGGGGATCTGGGTCCGCGGTCACCGCCTCCGCCGCCGCCGCCGTCGCCGCGGTCGCCGTCGCGGCTGCTGCGGCCGCCGCTGCCGCCAGCGACCGGGACCGGCCGCGGGATGTGTGAAGACGGAGAGCGCCTCGAGGCGGGTGAGAGAGCTGACCCTCCTCGGGCGGTTGCGATGAGACAGTCGTTCTGGTCCCTGGCGAGGGGGGCAGCCACGCCACGACACGCGCCGGCGCCGTCGGGGAATGCCTGAGAATGGCGCCTTCCCAGAAAGCGCCGGCGCGAATGGTGACGTGCCCAGGGGGGGAGGGGGGGAAGGGGCCAGTCACGGCTGTTATGGCGAATGATAAAAAGCTGGGCTCGAGATTGAACCTTGAGGGCTGGGCTCCCAAAGGCAGCGCAGGGATCAATCCGTAGCTATTTTGGCCGTTTGGGTTCAAGGTCCTCCCGTGACGAGCGATGTTGTTTTCAGGCAGCCACATGGCGCTGTCGCGAGGGGTTGTGTTGGCCGTCGTTTTGCTTACCCCTGCGCGCGGAACCGCAAGCCCAGACGAGGACGAGTCCTGTCTCTTGCAGAGGGGGCAGAGCACAGAGGAGCTGAGCAGGTCCCGTCGACAAGACTTTACCAGCGTCGTCACCTTCTCCACGGTCCCCCCGTGGATCACAGACCAGCCTAACCAGTGCTTGACGGTGAGCGATGGCGGTCTGGCGTTGGCCGCGTGTGACGGGGATGCAGATCAGAATCTAATCCTCAAGAATTATCATTTCCTCACGTACAATGGGAAGTGTTTGGAAGGCAACAGCACGTGGGCAGATTTCGTGACTTGCGACAGCGATAATCCAGAGCAGTGGTATCAGCTCCCTCAGGTGGGCAGCTATGGGCCCATCGCGAACTGCTGGTGCACTGGTCCGTCTGACTGCAGGAAACCCTGCAACGACGCTGGAGGAGTCGCGAATGCGTCCTCGACAACTTTGCTGGTGATTGGCGATGACGCTATTTGGTTTTGGATTTCTTTCGCACCTCAGGCCCCGACGACTGTCTCGACGACGAACCACGTCGAAGGCGGTGAGGGGAAGTGCTGCTTCAACGGTTGCGACGACGCGAACTCGTGCGTGACCTCGGGATGGTGCGCCGATCAGGAGCGGTGCTTGCTGCCGCAGTCTAGCGGCGGCTGCGACTCGTCACCCCGCGGAGCAAAGCCCTCCTGGTGTACCGGATGAGGGGTGCTTTATGCAGCACAATGAGATGCTGCACTTGCCGCTCCTTCTTCACGTCTCATAGTTTAGCACATTGTATTCAGGCAGAGCGTAAGGCGGGTGAGGGTTTGGGGCTAGGCGGCGGCTTCGGGTGGCTGCGTTGCCCTTCATGCGGTGTGCATGGGGAAAGAAGGCAGCGCAGGGATCAAAATGTAGAATCTTCACTGTCTGAGGCCACTCGTCCTTGGAGTCCCATCCCTCAAGGGCAGCGTTAGGAGGGGATGGGCTCAGGGGAGAGTGCATCGACTCACATTCGCCCATAGATCGCCGACAGGGGCCCGATGGTCCACCCCGCCCTTGAAAACGTGCGGCTTCACTGTCGGGGTCCTGTCGCCAACCTGTCGGCGAGGTGTGAAGTGTCGCCGATTCCCGCTCGATGTTCCCGTACCCCTCAGCTGGTCCCTTCTACCCAGACCCCCGACGTCATGATTTTTGTTCATGACGCCAACCCCCAGAGGTTTCGACCTATTCCCCAGGACCGGTTTGTCATCCCGAGTCGTTTCTTGACAGTCCCGAGGCCCGGTAAGGGCCCCCAGAGGCCATAAATGAGGAAAAACCTCCCGTTGAGATTTTGTCATTCTTCGATGGGGCCTGGGTATCGTTTCCTCCCGACCCCTCCGGGACCACCCTGGAACCGCCGGCTCCAGTGGGGCCTTCTCGGGAGCACTCTCTGTGGAGGCCTCCCGCGCGGCGCTCTACGGAGGCCGTGTCTCTCGGCGGCCCGCGGGAGGCCTCCCTGACGGGGGGAGGAGGCCGCTCGTCCCGAGGTACCCCCGACGCCATTTTTTTGTTGTTTGCGTAACGCCGACCCCTCCTCATGCTGCTCCTCCTCCTCCTGCTCCTCCTCCTCCACCTCCTCCTCCACCTCCTCCTCATCCTCCTCCTCCTCCACATCCTCCTCCTCCTCCTCCTCCTGCTGCTCCTCCTCCTCCTCCTCCTCCTTCTCCTCCTCCTCCTCTAAGAAGCATCCTTCTAAGAAGCAGCCTCCCCAGACCCCCGACGTCATGATTTTTTGTTTGTAGAGCGTCGAGCCCCAGAGGTCGGCCACGCGCAGAAGAAGGGGGTATGGGAGAGGGGGGAAGGCGTCCTAGAAGAACCCCTGCTTCTTAGAGGGTGCGGGCCTTGCCTGTAGATGTGAGGCCCGCGCCTTCTAAGAAGCAGCGCCTCCTTCTGAGAAGCCTTTCCCCCCCTCCCACCCCCTAATCACCCCCTCATGCGCGCCGCCAACGGGCTCTCGTGTCATATCCCCGAGACCAGTTTCTCATCCCGGGCCGTTGTCTGTCGGTGCCGAGGCCCGGCAGAGGCCCCCAGAGGCCGCAGGTGGCCACAGGGCCTCCCTGCCGTGCCCGCTCCATTGTCTCGAAAGGGGGGGCCGAGGGCCCGAGGCCACCTCGTCCCAAGGGGCTCACTGCTCAGTGGCCAGCCGGGGCGGCGCGCTACGTGCGCCCGGCCGCGCCCGCTCCCGCGCTGGCGGCTGCCGCCACCGTCGTCGTCGTCGTCGTCGTCGTCGTCGTCGAGTCGTCGTCGTCGTCGTCGTCGTCGTCGTCGTCGTCGTCGTCGTCGTCGTCGTCGTCGTCGTCGTCGTCGTCGTCGTCGTCGTCGTCATGTCGTCATTCGTCGTCGTCGTCGTCGTCGCCGTCGTCGTCGGTGGTTCTCTGTCTTTTCACAGGCTTCGTGCCCCTCCCGCGGGCGCGCACGAGGCCGAGCTACGGTCCCAGAACCCCTCAGTGGCCCCACCTCGGAGGCTCCGGCTCCCGCCGTGATCCCGTCCCTGGCTGGAGGGCGCCCTCCATCGGACAGGGCGCCAGGACGACGATCCGTTCGTCAACTACAGGGCGGCCCGAAATGCTCTTGGAGGGCGCCCTCCATCAGACAGGGCGCTAGGACGACGATCCGTTCGTCAACTACAGGGCGGCCCGAAATGCTCTTGGAGGGCGCCCTCCATCAGACAGGGCGCTAGGACGACGATCCGTTCGTCAACTACAGGGCGGCCCGAAATGCTCTTGGAGGGCGCCCTCCATCAGACAGGGCGCTAGGACGACGATCCGTTCGTCAACTACAGGGCGGCCCGAAATGCTCTTGGAGGGCGCCCTCCATCAGACAGGGCGCTAGGACGACGATCCGTTCGTCAACTACAGGGCGGCCCGAAATGCTCTCAGAGCGTTCCGGACCGCTCCGAGAAGGCCGCGGCGCCTGAGACATCCTCCAGAGCCGCCAGATCTCGGAGATTCTCGATTTATCGGGAGCCTCGAGACGGGGGTCAATGCAAACGGGGGTCAGCCAGGGCGCCGGATCTTGCAGGATCCTGCAGAGCCAGGGCTGCCCTGACCCGGGCTACCGCGCAGGATTCTGCATCATCGCCCGAATTCATATCGCTGCCCGAGTCTATTCCCCAGTTATCTCAGAGGATATCGATTCATCCTCACCTGAATTTGTCCTCGTCCTGGCTTCCCAGACCCCGACTTCATGATTTTTGTTCATGACGCCGACCCCCAGAGGTTTCGACCTATTCCCCGGGACCAGTTTTTCACCCTGAGTCGATTTTTAACAGTCCCGAGGCCCGGTAAGGGCTCCCAGAGGCTGAAAATTGCGAAAGAACTCCCGTCGTGCTTTTTTCACTGCTGCAGGGGGGTCTGGGAATCATCCTCACCAGAATTTGTCCTCGTTTCGGCTTCGTCTTTCTCCAGGAGGCCTCGCACGGGGCCCGCCGACGAGGAGGAGGAGGAGGAGGAGGAGGAGGAGGAGGAGGAGGAGGAGGAGGAAAAAGAGGAGGAGGAGGAGAGGAGGAGGAGGAGGAGGAGGATGTGGAGGAGGAGGAGGAGGATAGGAGGAGGAGGAGGAGGAGGAGGAGAGGGAGGGAGGAGGAGGAGGAGGATGGGGGAGGAGGGGAGGTAGGAGGGGAGGAGAGGAGGGAGGAGGAAGGGGGAGAAGGAGGAGCAGGAGGAGGAGGAGGAGCCTCCGTCGTGGGCCTCCCCGCGGCGCGCCGCGCGCTTGAGGCCCAGACCCCCTCGAGTCGTGGGAAAATCGCGACGGCTGGTTTTTCGTCTATGCACGCATGAGGGCGATCCAGTGGCCCGAAGATCTTGCTTTTATTTTTGTTGGTCGACTTATCTCTGGATCCATTACTGGCTAGATGAGAATTGACTGACGTACAAGTTGTAGATGGCAATGATCATCGAACATGTGGTACTGACCTATCTGTTTTCTCTTCGACTGTTTCACTGCGGACGAGTCCAAGGTGAAGGACCTCAGATCATCTCTCGACGGTAGGTTTTTCGCCATCTGCGACGCTTCTCGGCGCCAGTGCAGGGCTCCCACGATTTGCTACCGGGGGGGGGGGGGCCTGAGGGCGAGGTGGCCTCAGACCCAGACCCCCTCGAGGCATGAACCAAAAATACAACAGCAGGTTTTTAGCACTGGTTTCGGCCTCGGGGGGCCCCTACCGGGCTCGGGGACCGTAATCAGCGACTCGGGATGAAGACCCGGTCCCAGGGCATGGGTCGAGACCTCAGGGGGGCGACGTCATGCACAAGTCATGCCGTTGTGGGCCTGGCTTCTGAGACGAAAGCGCGCGTAAGCATACATGTTGGACGGCCCGCGCGAAGTTTGCTCCGGTGCTCCGGTCGTGCTTTTTCCCCGGGCTTTACCAGCCTGGAACACATCCCTATCCCCATGTTGGGCATCGCCTCATCACGACGGCGATCTTAGGGATCTCCCCAGTTTCTGAGGGTGTATCCCTGAGATTGCCATCGCCTTTTGGCGTGTCGATCTCAGGGATAGGGATAAGTTCGAGGCTGGTTAAGGGTGTCTGTTTGTTCGCGCCGTCGGGTCTCTGGGGCGGGCGCCGGCGGGGCGGGGCGGCGGGGTGCTCGAAGGCGGTGGGCGCCCGCGGGCGGGCGCCGAGCGAGGAGCGGCACACGTCGGACGGGGCTCGGACGAGGACAAAGCCGCTGCAGGGCGGCCCGAAGTGCTCTCGGAGCGTTCCTGCCCGAAGGCTCTGAGAAGGCCGCGGCGCCCGAGACGTCGTCCAGAGCCGCCGATGCACCACGGCCCGAGTTGGTCCTCTTCCTGGCTTCGTGCCTGGGCGGCGGCGGCGGCACAAGCATGATGCCTCGGAGGTCCGCGCGCTGAGCCTCGCCCGGCGGCGCCTCCAGCGCAGCTCCTGGCGCAGTCCGCGCGCACGGGAGGGGGCCGATTCAAGAATCCGGCGCTGACTTCCGAACGTTTGTGCTTACACAGTTGTTTGACCATCTAGAACTGCAGGGTCGTCCGCGGCACACTGGTGGTGCGCGGCGACGGTGTCTGCGAGCGGCGTCGATCGGGCCGGCAGAGCATGCGCCCTCCGGCAGGGGAGCGCGCGCGTGACTTACCGATCCAGCCGATGTTAAAGTCAGTACGATGACCTTGTTGCCACTCATCCGATAGAGAGGGGAGGACCGCC